AATTTTTAATATTTATTTTTTTAGTTCTCGGCGGACACAACATCTTTGTTGGTATGTGGTGCTGAGGATCGAACCCGGGCCGCACGCATGCCAGGCGAGCGCGCTACCGCTTGAGCCACATCCCCAGCCCAAGGCTCTAATATTTTTTTTTTTCTTTCTTTTTCTTCTCTTTCTTCTAGCACCGAGCTACATACCAGTCCTTTTATTTATTTATTTTTTTATTATTGTAGTTTGAGACAGGGTCTTATTAAGTTGCTGAGGCTGGCCTTGAGAATTTGCGGTCCTTCAGACTACCAAATAGCTGGGATTATAGGTGGTCACCACCACACCTGGCCTGGGTTCAGGTGTTGGGGTTTCTTTTTTTTGATACCGGAAATTGAACTCAGGGGCGCTCAATTGAACTCAGGAGTACTCGACCACTGAGCCACATCCCCAGCCCTATTTTGCATTTTATTTAGAGATAGGGTCTCACTGTGTTGCTTAGTGCCCTGCCATGGCTGAGGCTGGCTTTGGACTCGCAACCCTCCTTTCTCAGCCTCCTGAGCCACTGGGATTTCAGGTGTGTAACACCACACCTGGCTAGGCTTTGGGGTTTCTGTAGGAAATGGACACATCAAGGAGAAGGGTTCATGAAGTACCTATTCAGAGAGAAGCTTACAGGAATGGCCGCCTTGGGGTGATGAACAGTGTGCTGGAATCACCACCATATTGGGTCTGAAGGAACAAGGAGGGGGAGGCTTGTTAGTGAACTTGGTGAGAGCTACACTCATAGGTACAGGTCACCTAATAGAAGCTGTGGCTTCTGGTAGAGGAGTATAGTAATTGCCAACATCACAGAGGGAGGCAGGGAGGGAGGCATAATAAATATCCTGATCATAGTCTTCCCCTCCCTCTGGTCTCCTGCCAGTGTCTCCTATTAGCCAAGCCCCACCGGAAGCCAGAAGACAAGGGGCCATGAAACTGTCAGTTGGAGTCAGCCCCAGGACACCACAGGGCAACAGAGAAGCATAAAAAATGGAGGGGAGGCAGGGAATAGCCAGCCCTGACTGTCCTCTTCCCTGATTTGACTTTGTGCAGGGGATGACTTGTTTTTGAAAGCACAATCTGTGCCTGACTCTGAAACACCCTTTCCCTTCCTTCCAGGCCCAGGTTACCCTGTCCAAGGGCAGTCATAGTCCTGGAGTTAATCTCTCCCACCCCTGGCCTCCCTGGTTTTCAGTGCCTGTCAACACATCATTCAGCCTAGTGATCTGGCATCACCCTCTGCGCAGGCTTGTCTCCCCAGGAGACGGTTCTAGCCTCTTGTACACAGTGAGCTTCTTGCAGACTTGGACTAAATAAGGCCATTTGCTGACACAGGCTCAATAGACCAAGAGCTAATGTGTGCCAACTGATCTGACCTATGATCTCACATACCTCACCCTACCTAGGTGGACACAATCTGGGCACATTTGTGTGTTTGTCTTCTGGAGTAGACAAGGGCTTTCTTGGTATTGGGTGCTCATGCCTAGCATACAACAGGCATCCAAATGTTGCCTGAATAAGAACATTCTTCTTTCCTTCCTTCATTTACAACATACTTTTCTACTGCGTGCTAGACCTTGTGCTAGTCCCTGGAGCCACAGTAATAAACAATACACACAAAGTCCTTGTCCTCCTGGGGTTTCCATTCTAGTGGGGGAAGCAGGTCAGGAAGGAATGGAAAATAAACCATATTGTTGCAGGTTGTGAGAAGGGCTGCACAGAAAATAAACAGGGTGATGGGATAAACAGTCAATGGGTACACATCACAGGCTGCATGCTTTTGATGAGATGACATATGAGCTGGGTGGAAGCTGGGATGTGAAGATCTGGAAAGGGTATTCTAGGCAGAGGGAACGCTCAGAGGGAAAGGAATTTCTGGAACCCTAGGGGGATTCAGTGTTTTAGTCTAAAGAAGGGCTTAGGTACACGCCTGTAATCCCAAGTGCTTGGGATGCTGAGGCAGGAGGATCATGAGTTCAAAGCCAGCTTCAGCAAAAGTGAGGTGCTAAGCAACTCAGTGAGACCCTGTCTCTAAATAAAATACAAAATAGGGCTGGGGATGTGGCTCAGTGGTTGAGTGCCCCTGAATTCAATCCCCAGTACTCCCACCCCCCAAAAAAAAAAGCTTAGGGGAAGGTTGGGGGAGGTTAAGGAATTCAGTCTTGGGGGACTGCCCAGGGCCAGCTCCTGGGCAAGGGGCTGAAGGGAAAGGGACAGCAGCCCTTCTGAATGCTGCCCTTGCCACCTGTTGCCTAGCACCCACAGCAAACAGCACCCCGGCTGGCAGGCCTTGAGCTTGCTTCCTTTGCTCCCATCTGACTGGCAGCAGCTGTCAAACAACCAGCCACTAAGGCGTTGCCAACTTCCTCCCCTGGAATATTTCAGGGGTAAGTCAGAAAATGGCCAGCCTCCTCCAAAACCTGACTTTTCTCATGCATACCTTAAAAGGGTATATTGGACTGCCCTGGGTGTTAATCTTCCACCCCCTCACCATAGACAGAGAACTATAAATATACAGATAGCAGATGAATGAACACATACATACCCAGTCACAGAGGACGCTCCACACATCTGCTTCTGTGTACAACCCCCCTGCCGCCACTGCGATCACACAGATCAGCCCCAGTCAGGGACACAATCACAGTCTCATACAGGACCATATGCACACCCCAGTCACTGCAGCCAGCTCCCCATCCCCCACAGCCCACAAAGAACACATGAGGACAGACATAATCGCCACACATTGATCCTGTGATCATAGTCACACATCCACATACACACATATGGGCACACAACCCCCACAATCTTGCACTCCACACACAAATCCAGGCCCCACCACTGTGGGTACCTTCATCACAATGCCCAAGCCCACACTCATTCAATACAATCGAATGATTTTGCAACCCCCCCCCCAAGCCCTGGTAATTGTTCTTCTGGTAATTGAGACCCAGGTCTGGAAGGCCTGCAGCAGCTGTGTGTGTGTGTGTGTGTGTGTGTGTGTGTGTGTGTGTGTATGGTGCTGGGGATTGAACCCAGGGTCTTGTACATGGGAGGCAAGCACTCTACTAACTGAGCTATGTCCCCAGTTCCCTGCAGCAGCTTTTTCCTTGGGGTGGGGTGGGGTGGGGATGAGTTCAGTGTTGAAGTTTGACCCTGACACTAATGGGGCAAGAACTTGGGGGGAGATGATATCCCTCGAGGTTAACCCAAGCCAACTGAGTGGGGGTGACAGAGAACACTGGGATACCCCAGGACGGAAAGCGATGTTAAACACAGGCTCAACCATAGCCTTAAACCCCTTGACAGTCCTCCCACAGTCCTTCTCTAACCCCAGCCAAGGGCTCCTAAGCCCCGGGCTGTCCCCAGAGGCAAGGGGTGTGGCCGTTAACCCTCCTCCCCCAGCCCGCACCCTACCCCATCCCTTCACGACAGCTGCGGGGCACTCGCAGGAGGTTGCGCTCCAATCCTCTGCGCTGGTTGGTTTCTGAGGGCGTCAACACTCCTAGACACAAACCTGATGGGGGTGCTGGGTCCCTCTGAGCACCCCTTCCCCAAACCTTGCTTCCCCACCCCGCGGGGCAGCAGAAGTTCTCTCCTGGGATGGCAGAGCCCTCCCCTTGACTCCCCCTATAACCCGGACCCCAGGAAGGGAAAATGGAGAGAAGGAAGGTTCAGGAAGATCTCGGGGCTGGCTGGTTTTGGAAAGGCCACTAGCCGCCCCTCATCCCTATCCCACGCCATCCCACCCCAACCGGCCTCTCCGGGAAGGGGCGGCCTCTCCCCGCCCCCAGGGCCGCGGCCCGCTCCCTCCTCCCGCAGGCTGGAGCCTGGGCCAAGTGGGCGCGCCCGGCCCGGGGCGGCCGGGATCCGGTGTCGGCTGCAGCTGGCAGTGCGGCGGGCGCGGGCGCCTGAGCAGCGGCCGGCGGGGCCGGCTATTAATAACGCGCCCGCTGAGCCCGGGGTCGCGCAGCCATGGCCAGCCCGGAGCTCCGGCGCGGCGGGGACGGCGCCGCCCAGGCCGCGAGGTAGGACAGTCCAGGCTGGTGTCGCCTCCCCTTTGGGGAGGGGGTGTTGGACTATTCCCTTCCCCCACCCGCAGCCCCTTCACCAGGCGGGGGGTAGTGGTCCAGCCGGGGTGGGGCACGGGGCGGAGCCACTCATCCAGGGGAGATGGGGAGCTCTGGCTCAGGGTCAACAGACCTTCCTTGATCAGTGGCTTTTTATAATCCCCCTCCCCCTCCCAAGGGCGCGTGAGAATTAACCCTTTCGGGCTATAATCTGCTCAAAATCAAGTTGCCCATCTATCCAAAGACAATACTCCTTTTCTGTCATTCCTCAACTCCAAATGTCAACTGGGAATGTCAACTGGGGCAACCAGTTGTGAATTCGCTGGGTGAAGCCACTTGGTGCAAGGTTGGGCATTTGCCAATTTGAAGTTAAAAGTCTGGTCGGCAGCTTGTTCTCGCTTGTCTAATTGGGATGGGGGTGGGGAGGGTCTATTTGCCCTGGAGCAGCAGGAGGGTTCTGGCTGGGCAGGGACTAGAAGGGACAGCTGCTACTCTGCCACATTAGCTTACCACTGGTTAGGGGAAGAGACCTGTGGCCAAGGGATTTGGGAATGAGTGGGGAGTATTTTTGCTCCACCTCAGGCTGTAGCCCTGGGATTTTCCAGTGTACCAAGAAGGTGGAGGTACAAATACATACTCTTGACTTCCCTCCACAGTCACATTCCTCATGTGGATCACGTTCAATCGCCTGTACTACTATGTACACATAGAGATGTACACAGAGTCAAATAGATGTAATCTTGCCTGCACAGTGTCACACACACACTCCCAGCCAAATCCCTGAGGAACAGACAGTGTTAGGGAGCTGCTGGAGTCGTCTGGGAACAGGGATAGAGTGGTGGAAGCAGACTGCCTGGGCTCAAGAAAGCCTGAGGTCAGGGGTCCTGGCCAAACTCATCCCTCTCCCCTTAGTCTTCCATAATGTGCTTCTTGCCCTGCTTGGCAGAGGCAGCTGTGTGAGCACAGCATCTGGTACCCTGGGTGGAGTGACAGCATGGCCTGAGAGTCAGGAAGCCTGGGTTCTACTCCAGCTTTACCACTTGACCTTGGGTAAGTTTACTCTCTGAAGATCAGTCATTTCTTCTTGCCTTCCTTTTAAGGACCCCAACCCTGGGAAGGAGAATATAACTGTTTTTAGGAAATTCACTATCAGTGAGACAGACACATGAGCTTCTGTAATGCAAAGAACTGCGCGCAAGATGAGCTGCATTCAGTGTTGTGAGGACCTAGGTGGATCTTATTTGGGAAATACCTTCCCAGAGGAGATAAGAGTTTGAGCAAGTCTTGAAAGATGAATAGAAATTTCAGTAAATAGAAAGCTTTTTTTTTTTTTTTTTTCCCCTTTTTGGTGCTGGGAATCCAACCCAGAGCATCAATGCATGCTAGGCAAGCACTCTAGCCACACCCTAGCCCTAAGATAGTAGTTTTTGACCACTATATTCCAAGCTCTATTATATGTGCCATGCCACATTTACTTCTTCCAGACATCACACCTATGCTAGGCAGAGAGTGGTAAGTACTGTGGCCTTCTTTAGCCCTGTCTGCCACTTGTATGAGTTGTGGAACTTCCAGTGAGTTCCTCATTTTCTTTGTACTTCAGCTTCTTCATCTATACAATGGGGATAATAGAGGAATATTCTATAAGAAAGTATCCATGGGGCTAAGGTTGTGGCTCAGAGGTACAGCGCTCTCCTAGTATGCGTATGGCACTGGGTTCAATCCTTAGCACCACATAAAAATAAAATAATAAAGATATTATGTCCAGGGCTGGGATTGTGGCTCAGCAGTAGAGTGCTTGTCTAGAACCGGCGGGATCCGGGTTCGCTCCTCAGCACCACATAAAAATAAAATAATAAAGATATTATGTCCAGGGCTGGGATTGTGGCTCAGCAGTAGAGTGCTTGTCTAGAACCGGCGGGATCCGGGTTCGCTCCTCAGCACCACATAAAAATAAAATAATAAAGATATTATGTCCAGGGCTGGGATTGTGGCTCAGTGGTAAAGCGCTTGCCTACCATGCATGAGGCACTGGGTTCAATCCTCAGTACCACATAAATGTAAAATAGAGATATTATGTCCACCTAAAAACTAAAAAAAATAAATGTTTAAAAAAAGATATTATGTCCACCTACAACTAAAAAAATGTGTTTTTTTTTGTTTGTTTTTAAAGAAAGTACTCATGTAAAATGCTTAGAATAGTACCTTGAATGTGGTTAAATCATTCCAAGATGGAGGCCTCAGCAAGAGCTTGATGGGAGGGCCATTGGCTGGGAAAGCAGGTCTCTGTTGAGTAGCAGAGTGGGCCTGGGTGACTGAGCAGGTGTGTCTTACTGGCGCCAGGAGCTTGACCTTTCTGTGTAGTACAGGGCTATTCTCTAGGCAGGTGGTGTTCGAGAAGCTGCATTTCTCAGCCATTGGATCCTTCAGTCATTGTGGGCTCAGAGTGGGAAGTGTGAAAAGTTAACACATGTTCTGGGTTGTCAGGCATGGGGTGGGTTGCAGGAGTAATGTGAGCTGAGGCTAAAAAAGGTAAGTTGAAATTGTGAAGTGGAACAACATTGGGGTGTAGCAAGTGAACTGTGGCCCTGTAGAGAATACATTGGGTGAGGACAGGGAAGAAGCCATTAGAAGGTTGGTACAGCTGAGTGTGGTGCACATGCCTGTAATCCCAGCAAGTAGGGCAGACGAGGCAGGAGGATTGCAAATTCACAGCCAGCCTATCAATTTAGCAAGACCCTGTCTAAAAATAAAAAGGGTTAGGGATGTAAATCAGTGGTGAAACACCCTGGGTTCAATCCCCAGTACCAGAGGTGGGGACAGGGAGAATATGATGGAGCTGCCCTATATTCTAAGGAAATCTTGGCTGCCTCAATAGGATTTTAGTGTCTATGGACTTCTGTTTTTTTTTTTTTTTTTTGTATAGGGGATCGAATCCAGGGACGCTCAACCACTAAACTGCATCCCCAATCCTTTTTAAAATATTTTATTTAGAGACAGGGGTCTTTCTTAGTTGTTTAGGGCCTAAGTTGCTGAGGCTAGCTTGGAACTCCCAATCCTCCTACCTCAGCCTCCCAAACCACTGGGATTACAGGTGAGTGCCACTGCATCCGGCCACACCTACTGATTTTAATACTCATCCTCAAGGGATAGTGACAATATGGAGCCTGGTCAGAGGAAGTGATTCAAATAAGGAGGACAGAGGAAACTTTGGCATGTATGCAGTAATTGAAAGGTAAATTAGTTATCTTTTTATTTTTTGGTGTTAGGGATTGAACCTATGGGGCTTTGCGCATGCCAAGTATATGCTTGACCACTGGGCTATCTCCCTAGCCTCTGAGTTAGTTATCTTTAAGTGTTCAAAGAACATACATGGAAAAGCAGAATTGTCTGATTCTAAAGGGAGAATCAAGTCCAGCAAGCAAGTATTGCAAGAAAGAAGTTTCTACTTCAACATTAGAATTTTACTCTACTATGAAGCACATAGTAGAGGCTCAGGTATAAGTTTCTTATCCTTGAAATTATGTAAACAGATGAGACGGTGACTTTGAGGGGGTGCTTTTAGGGAATCAAAACAATGGACTGTGTGTGCAGAGGCACTAAATCAATACAGGAAAAGGAACCTTGATTTGAGAATCTGCTGGAGTCTATGTCTTTGGTTTCTGTGTTATTCTATCAGGAATATTGGTCTTTAGTTTTCTTTCCTTGATGCGACTTTGTCTGGTTTTAATACCTGGATTATTCTGGCTTCATACTTGTTTTTAGGACTGTGCCCTCCTTTTTTATTTCCGAGTACTTTGAGGAAGACTGGTGTTAGTTCTTCTTTAAAAATCTGGTAGATCTCAGGGTTGGGGCTGTGGCTCAGTGGTAAAGCACTTGCCTAGCATGTGTGAGGCACTGGGTTTCATCCTTAGCACCACATAAATAAATAAAATAAATGTATTGTGGGGCTGGGATTGTGGCTCAGCAGTAGAGTGCTTGCCTAGCACCGGCGGGATCCGGGTTCGATCCTCAGCACCACATAAAAATAAAGGCATTGTGTTGAGTCCATCTACACCTAAGAAATAAATATTTTTAAAAAAATAAATGTATTGTGTCCATCTGCAACTAAAACAATATATATATTTTTAAAAATCTAGTAGATCTCAGCTGAGAATCCATCTTGTCCTGGGCTTCTCTTTGTTGGAAGACTTTGTTTTCAAATATTTTTTTTACTTATATATGGATACACAGCTTTATTTGATTGATTTATTTTTATATGTGGTGCTGAGGATCAAATCCAGTGCCTCACACATGCTAGGCAGGTGCTGTACCAGCCCCAGCCCTGGAAGACTTTTTTTTTTTTTTTTTTAAGTTACAGGTGAACTCAATATCTTTATTTTATTTTTATGTGGCGCTGAGGATCAAACTCAGTGCCTCATGCATGTAGGTGAGTGCTCTACCTCTGAGCCACAACTTTTATTTATTTTTTGTTTGTTTTTAAAGAGAGAAAGAGAGAGAGAGAGAGAAGAGAGAGAGAATTTTTAATATTTATTTTTTAGTTTTCGGCGGACACAACATCTTTGTATGTGGTGCTGAGGATCGAACCCGGGCCGCACGCATGCCAGGCGAGCGCGCTACCGCTTGAGCCACATCCCCAGCCCTGAGCCACAACTTTTAATTGCTGCTCCAATCTCATTTGATATTGATCTGTTTAGGTTTTCTCTATTTTCCTGATTCAATTTGAGCAGCTCATATTTGTCTAAAGATTTGTCAATGTCTTATAGATTTTCCAATTTATTGGCGTATAAATTTTCAAAATGATTTCTAATGATCTTCTGGATTACAGAAGTGTCTGTGGTGATATCTCCCTTTTTCATGTCTAATTTGTTGATTTGGGTCTTCTCTCTTTTGGTTAGTTTGGCTAAGGATTTATCAATCTTAGTATCAATTATAGTAGAGGCTCAAGTTTGACTTTCCTCTCCTTTAAATTATGTAAACAGAGATGAGATAGTGACTTTGAGGGGGTGCTATGAGGGGATCAAAACAATGGACCCTGTGTGTGGAGGAGGTAGATCAATAGAGGGAAGGGACCAGATAAGGGAATTTATCCTTTCACAGAACTAACCCTTTGTTGCACTGATTCTTTGTATTATTTTTTTATTCTCAATTTTATTAATTTTGGCTCTGATCTCCATTATTTCCTGTCTTCTACTGTATATATATGAATGTACCACAGTGAATTTCATCTTTATGTATATCTATAAAGCAGCAATTAAAAGAACAAAAAATAGGGCTGGGGATGTGGCTCAAGCGGTAGCACGTTCGCCTGGAATGCATGCCGCCCGGGTTCGATCCTCAGCACCACATACAAACAAAGATGTGTCCGCTGAGAACTAAAAAATAAATATTAAAAATTCTCTCTCCCTCTCTCTCTCCTCCCTCACTCTCTCTTTAAAAAAAAAATAAATAAAAGAACAAAAAATAAATACAAGGAAGACTAGTAAAGGAAGGGGAATAGGGAGAGGGAGGAGGGGAGGGAAAGAGGAAGCACTGGGGACTCAAATGGAGCAAATTATATTTCATGCATGTATGATAATGTCAAAATAAATCCCACTACTATGTATATTATAATGCACTAATAAAAACATTAAAAAATTGACCTGTGGCTGATGGATCTGTCAAAAACCATCCTACCATAGTTGGAACCCTTTCACTTTATTAATTAATTTATTTGTGGTGCTGGGGATTAAATGCAGGGCCTTGTGCATGCGAGGCAAGCACTCTACCAACTGACTATATCCCCAGCCCTCACTTTATTTTTATTTATTTATTTTAAAAATATTTTTTAGTTGTAGATAGTCACAATACCTTTATTTTATTTATTTTTATGTGGTGCTGAGGATCAAACCTAGTGTCTCACACGTTCTAGGCAAGCACTCTACCATTGAGCTATAACTACAGCTCCCCTTTCACTTTAAATAATTTATTTTGCAGAGAAACAAGAGCAGAGTCCAATTCTCCTCTTCAAGAAGAGAATCCTGAATCCTGGAATGAGTCCAAGACTGTGAACCCAGAAGTTACACTATCTTTGGAGGGAACTGTGAACCTAGAAGACATTCTTTACCTTGACGACACAGGAGACTTTGAAGAGACACCGCTCTATGTAGAAGAGACAGAGAAGCCAGAGGAGACACTTTATATTGAGGAGCCCAGGCAGCCAGAGGAGGCACTGTATGTGGAAGAGCTTGCAAGTCCAGAAGAGTATGTGGAAGAGACTGTGAAGCCAGATGAGATACAGTTTGTGGAGCAGACTGCAGAGCCAGCAAAGAGTCCCAGCCCAGGGCTGATTGTTTGTGATGGAGAGATGGTGGCAAAAGAAGAGAAATGTTGCCCTAAGGAGAGCCTCAGAGCAGGGTTAAGCCCCAGCACAGAGGACAACCTAAGCATGGCAGACCTGGAACTGCTAGAGGGCCGTTTCCAGCAGTGTGTGCAAGCAGTGGCCCAGCTGGAAGAGGAGCGGGATCAGCTCATCCATGAACTTGTGCTGCTCCGTGAACCAGCTCTGCAGGAGGTACAGCAAGTCCATCAGGACATCCAGGCTGCCTACAAGCTGCATGCCCAGGCAGAGCTGGAGAGGGATGGACTCAGGGAGGAGATCCGGCTGGTCAAACAGAAGTTGTTCAAGGTGACCAAGGAATGTGTGGCCTACCAGTACCAGCTGGAGTGCCGCCAGCAGGATGTGGCTCAGTTTGCTGATTTCCGGGAAGTGCTAACTACTAGGGCAGCCCAGCTCTCGGAGGAACTGGCCCAACTCCGGGATGCCTATCAGAAGCAGAAGGAGCAGTTAAGGCAACAACTAGAAGCACCCCCAAACCAAAGGGATGGGCACTTTATCCAAGAAAGCCGCCGGCTGTCTGCCCAATTTGAAAATCTCATGGCAGAGAACCGCCAGGGCCTGGAGGAGGAGTATGAACCTCAGCTGCTGCGGCTCCTGGAGAGGAAAGAAGCAGGGACCAAAGCTCTACAGAAAACCCAGGCTGAGATCCAGGAGATGAAGGAGGCTCTGAGACCCCTGCAAGCAGAGGCCCGGCAGCTCCACCTGCAAAACAGGAACCTGGAGGACCAGATCACACTTGTGAGGCAAAAACGAGATGAAGAAGTACAGCAGTACAAGGTAGGCCCACTGGTTGTGAAAGAGAGGTCTTCTACCAGGAAGGAGAGGGTGGTCAGAATCTAATGTCTTTGGGCTCGGAGGATACTATCCTGTGTAGGAAGAACARTGCATTCTCTGGGGCCATTCACTCATGTCTTGACTCCATTCTTCATTCACCTCCTTCAGTCAGGCCTGTGTTAGGAGCTGAAATTACTTGCTCTCTTTTAGTTCATGCAGCATTTTCACACCAACTGTCTCATTTGATCTTCACATTAATACTACAAGCATTCTCATCTTTTAGAAGAGGAGACTGAGGCTGTATTTGAACCAACCCAACCCAACCCCAAGTATTTCAGTGCTCCTTCCTAGGTATCTGTTTCTAATTCTAACTGAATAGTGAGTCACACTTGGGTATGTGGAGAGCTGGAGGGAATGAGGCCAGATGGAATGAATTCATCCCTCTTCTCCACCCTTAAGTCCCATCCATCCAACCTCTACCTTAAAGCTGTTCAGTCTTTAGACTGGGATGAAATCTATAAATCTCTATTCCTTTTTTTCCTTTTTTGTGCATGTCACCGTCTCCCTCGTATTCAAGTTATTTCTGATTAAGTGTGAGCCAGTTCTAATCCCTTTTTAGAACAGTGGAATATAAATACTAAGTGAATAAACAATTACGTCTGCCTTTCCCATAGACTGTGGGCTTTGGGAAGGTAGTGGTGGTGTTTAACTTACCTCTATATTGTCTGCTACTCAGGGCTCAGGACACATCAGGTAAATGTTGAGTTAGGTGTTGCTGAGACTTTGTTGTGGGATTTTGTATTTATTTTGAAGAGGCAAGGTCTTGCTGAATTTCTCAGGCTGGCTTCTAATTTGGCATTCACCTGCCTCATCTTCCCAAATAGCTGGGATTATGGGGATCTGCAACTGTGCCCAGCTGTGTGGGGCTTTTGCAATTTTTCTTTTGGTACTRGGGATTGAACCCATGCAGGGATGCTTTACTCCTGAACTACATTCCCAGTTCTCCCCTCCCCTGCTTTTTTTCCCCCAAAGACATAAACAAGAAACTTTTTATTAAAAAAAAATTATACTGGGAATTGAATCCAGGGGTAGGAATGCTTTATCACTGAGTTATAGTTGGTCAGTTGTAGTTGTTTTGTTCAGTCTATAGACTGGGATGAAATCTATAAATCTCTATTCCTTGTTTTCCTTTTCTGTGCGTGTCACCATCTCCCTTGTATTCGTTATTTCTGATTAAATATGAGCCATTCTAATCCAGTTCTAATTTGAGACAGGGTCTCACTAAGTTGCTTAGGGCCTTACTAAATTGCTGAGGCTTGCCTCAAACTTGTTATCCTCCTGCCTCCTCCTCCTGAGTTGCTACAATTATAGGCATGCATCACCACATTACAACTTAGAGGTTTATTTAGGAAAGCAGAGGGTACTTCTAGGGTAAATATGGGCTGTGAGGTGGTTTGGGGTAAAGCAAGGAATATACATTCAAGGGAGAATGTGGGCCAACTCCAGAGGGAGAAACAGCCCCAAGTCATTTTTGTTAATTTTGAGATAGGGTCTTGCTAAATTGCTGCAGATAGCATTGAACTTGTGATTCCTCTGTCACAACCTCCCAAGTCACTGTCAGGATTATAGACATGTGACACTGTGGCTGGCTGTATGGGGTCTTTCAGAGCAGTATTTTTTTTTTCATATTTAACAACATTTTATTATATAGTTTACAGAAAATTACATCAAATTTTATTTCACCAGTAATCTCAATTTTCCAGTAAGAGCAGTATTTTTGTCTCTTGAAATATGCACTTCTTTGAATAAACTTTATGCCAGGTATGGAGGCATATACCTACAAACCCAGTGATTCTGGAGGCTGAGGCAAGAGAACCACATGTTCCAGGCCAGCCTGAGCCATTTAGGGAGACCCTGTCTCAAAATAAAGTTATTATTATTTTTTTAAGGTACTGGGGATTGAACTCAAGACTGCTGTACCACTGAGCCACATACCCAGCCCCTATTTTGTATTTTATTTAGAGACAGGGTCTCACTGTGTTGCTTTGTGCCTCGCTTTTGCTGAGGCTAGTTTTGAACTTGTGACCCTCCTGCCTCAGTCTCCCAAGTTGCTGGGATTACAGGTGTGTGCCATTGCAACTGGCTCAAAATAAATGAAAAGAACTATGATACATTTCAGTGGCAGAACACTTTGCCTATGTGTGAGGTCCTGGGTTCAACCCCCAGACTGCCAAACCAAAGCCAAACACTTTATGCCTTCCTGGAGATTTTGGTGTATCCTTAAGGGAACATGTCCTCTATTAAAAATGGCTGCACTCACTTGATTAAATATTTTGTCCAGGTTTCTGTGTCTGTATTATGAAAACAATGGGGTTTGGTCATGCATGGGTATATTCCTTTCTTTGTGGGGGGTGGGGTACGAGGGTTTGAACCGGAGTGATTTAACATTGAGCTACATCCCCAGCCCTTCTTATGTTTTTTTTAAAGAGAGAGAGAGAGAGGAGAGAGAGAGAGAGAGAGAGAGAGAGAGAGAGAATTTTTAATATTTATTTTTCAGTTCTTGGCGGACACAACATCTTTGTTGGTATGTGGTGCTAAGGATCGAACCCGGGTCGCACGCATGCCAGGCGAGCGCGCTACCGCTTGAGCCACATCCCCAGCCCTTCTTATTTTTGAGACAGAGTTTTCTAAGTTGCTGAGGCTCACCTCAAATTTGCAATCCTCCTGCCTCAGTCTCCCCCAGTCGCTGGGATTACAGGTGTGTGTCACTGTACCCAGATGGATGTTTTAAAATTATTCATCAAACACTCACTCACTCACCCAATATCCACATTGATTTTTTTTTTTTTAAGGAAGGGGGGTGGGAAGAGGGTGAGGAGAGAGAGAAAGAGGGGGAGAGGGGGGAAAGAGAGGAAGGGAGGAGGACAGAGGGGGAGAGAGAGAAGTTGATTTTTTTTATTGGTTCACAATGCTAGTGAAAGGGCAATTATTTATTCAGTACTTTATTAAGTACTGTCCTTAACAACAAACTCAAGTAGATATTATGTTAAAAATTGTAACTCAGGGTAAAAAGTAATGGATATAAGAGATGCAAGTAAGAGGGCTATGGGATATTTTTAGCTACAGGGTTAAATCAGAGAACTCATCATGGAAAAAGGTGGAATTTGAGCTATGAATTGTAGGAAGAATTTAGACCTGTGCTGTCCAGTGGAAATATATCCAGTAACTATATTAAAAAAGAAAAATAGGTGAAAGAAATTTAAAAATGTGTGTGTGTGTGTGTGTGTGTGTGTGTGTGTGTATACAAATACATACACACACTTTTTGGAGGTAAAAGGCAGGGGGCTACTGGGGGGTTGAACTTAGGGACACTTTACCACTGAGCCACATCCCCAGACCTTTTTTTTTTTTTTTTTTAAGGTATTTTATTAGAGACAGGGTCTCACTGAGTTGCTTAGTGCCTTGCTTTTGCGATCCTCCTGCCTCAGCCTCCTGAGCTGCTGGGATTACAGGGGTGCGCTACCCAGTCCTTTTTTGAGACATAGTCTCTCGAGGTTGTCCAGGCTTGCCTTGATCTTGTGATCTTCCTAACTCAGTCTTTTGAGTTGCTGGGATTACAGGCATAAATCACTGAGCCTGGAAGTTTTAACATTTTATCTAACCCTAAATATCCAAAATATAGTATCTTGGCTGCAGGTAAAAGGTGAAAAGCCGTTGTTAAGGTGAATTGTGAAGGTAGGTTGGGTTGAAGTACCTTGAAGTTTATGGTACTGGGGATTGAACCCAGGGGTGCTCTACCACTAAATTATATCCCCAGTTCTTTTTTTTTTTTTAGTTGTAAATGGATCATTTATTTATTTATATGCAGTGATGAGGATTGAACCCAGGGCCTCACATATGCCAGGCAAGTGCTCTACCACTGAGTCACAACTCCAGCTCCCCGTCCTCTTTTTTTGATACAGGACTCAAACTTGCCATCCTCCTGCCTCAGCCTCCCAAACTGCTGGTACAGGACTCTGAAACCCAAACTAATCATCTGGATTTTATTCAGTAGCCAGTTGCATAATTAAAGACTTTTATTTATTTTTTAATTAAAGGCTTTTAATTAGGAGTAACATATATCATTCTCTACTATTAGAAAGTACTGGTGGCAGTGTGAAAATGGGCCAGACCAAGGGCAAAGGAGGCTACTTAAGAAGTTATTGTAGGGCTGGAGATCTAGCTTAGTTGGTAGAGTGCTTGCCTTACATGCAGAAGGCCCTGGGTTCAATCCTCAGCCACACACACACACACACACACACACACACACACACACACACACAAATAATAAAGTCTTTAAAAAAAAAAAAAGCTAGCTGTAATCTCAGTGGTGAGGCACTAAGTAACTCAGTGAAACCCTCTCTCTAAATAAAATACAAAGTAGGGGTGAGGATGGGGCTCAGTGGTCAAGTATTTCCCTGAGTTCAATTCCCAGTACCAAAAAAAGAAAGCTATTCTAGGTGAGATTATAACCAATGGTGCAATGGTGGTGGGACTAAAAGGGGGTTTCCAGAACAACTATAGCTAGGCACCTGTAATCCCACCAATCCCAGTGACTTGGTGGCTGAAGCAGGAAGATCACAAGTTTTAGGCCAACTGGGCAATTTAGTGAGACCCTGTCACAAAATAAAAAGGACTGGGGGTGTGGCTCAGTGTAGAGCACCCTTGAATTCAATCCTCAGTACCAATAAATAACAATTGCCAAATAAACTTGGTGATTTGATGAGACGTCAAAGAGGAGGCTAAAATTTCAAGCAAGGATAACTAAGATGGTGATGCCATAAAATGGGAATTTTCTGCTTTAGTTTTTTGACATAGCACCAGTTATTTTCCCCAGTGATTTCCAACACTTTACTGGGTTTGTTTCATATCTCATGATCTGTTCAGCTTTCTAAGGAGAGTTAAATGACACATACCCTTGATGTGAGTTTCTGCTATCACTTATACCATAAGTTAAGCAGGAA